TGCTCGAGGCAATGATGGCAAAGCAGTTAGAGCCAACTAATCAACTCGTGCAGTCTCATTCTCAATCCCTTGCCAAGTTAGAGACTCAAGTTGGCCAAGCTCAAGCCTTGAACAGAAGAGAGGATGGCAAGCTTACTAGTCAACCAGTAGCTAATCCAAGAGGTGTGCGTATAATTGGACATTACTGGCCAAAAAGTCCGCCATGAACAAGTGCAAGCAATTACTACTCTAAGAAGTGGTAAGAGAGTTGAAAACAAGGTGGAAGAAGAGGAAGCAAAGAAGGATGAAAATTGGAAGAAAAGACTTGAAGAGAAAAAGGAGCATAATGAAAAAGCACAAAAAGTACCTCCAACTATTGAGCCATCTCTAGAACAAAGGCATGTTGTTGTGCCATTCCCTCAAATACTACAAGAAACATCAAAGGCAGCGAAGCAAGCAAGCAAACTTCAGGACATAATGGAGATGTTCAAACAAGTGAAGATTAAAATACTTTAGTAATTCAAGTTTGGGGGCATAGCATCTACTCTAGTTGTCTTAAAATACTCTAGTAATTCAAAAAAAAAAAAAAAAAAAAAGAGTAAGTCATTTTCTTTGGCATGTTGACTTGAATTCAAGTATTTGCGAATTATTGGAGGGATTAAGACACTTAAGTACTTTTTAAAATTCTTTTCTGAGATCGTCTTGAATTCCTAATTTTCGTGCTTTATTTTATGTGGGTTCCACTGTCTAGTGTGATAGGAATTTTAGTATTGTCGGTCCCTAATGGATTTCACATGCACACTAGAATTTTATCTATGGGTACTTATATTTTTGGTTGTATTCTGATAACTATATATGGATATGAATTGGTGAACTTTGAAAGTTATTACTATGGCAGAGATATTAAAAAATAAAAATAAAAATAAAAAGAAGCAGAAAAAAATATATATATTTCGTAACCCGTTCATGGAGTAATCTTATATACATAGAGTGTTCGCATGAAGAAATGGGGGTAAAGATAAAGGAAAAAAAAAAAAAGAAGAAGAAAAATAAATAAATAAATAATATTTTGCCATAGAAAATAACTTGAGAAAAGATCTGAGGAATTGAAGTTATAGAAGTTGGGTTCAATTGAAAAAATATTACTACATAGGTGATTTGCTAGTTCACAAATTTCACAACATTGGGGATTGATTTTGCTATATTTCTTGTTATATAAGCGTGTGGGAAACATTTGGATGAAGTATGACAATAGGGACAAAAGAGTATAATCAGATGATAATTTTTAAAGTACTTCTATGTAGTCTTCCCCTTGATTATTGTGATGATATGAGAATAAGTTGATTGCCAAAGGATTGAATTATGTTATATGTTTGTGGGTATCATCTCTGGAAACCCTCACGAGACTTCACTCGTCCACTAGGGGTAATCTAGGGGTTTAAAAGGCTTATTGCATACGTTAAATGCAATCGTGATTCCCACAAAAGCGGCATTTATGTTTTCTTTAGTTTTATTATTTGGGACTAGCAATATGTAAGTTTTGGAGTGTGTTAAGCTCTGAATGTTATACATTTTAGCCCCTCTATTCGCATGTTTTATTATCTTAATAATAATTTATTTGTGATTTTACATTATTTTATTATTTTTATTTATTTCAGGGCTTTAATTGTAAAATCAGTCAAGACCAGTAATTCTGAGATTTAAAAGATGACTTTTCATGGGACCGAATAATGTTGAAGATTCAAGTCTAATTATATTTAGAAAATAGTCTAAAAGAAGCTACAAGTTAATGATAATGGAAAGAAGGAAAAAAGGAAAAATCATTCTCCAAAAAGGAAACTTTCGCCAAAGTTGGTAACTTGAACCTGTTTTGGTAATCTAGCTGTATCTCTCTTCTCGAGTGTCAAAACGGCTAAATTCTCGTGCAGGTAGATAGGAACTTCAAAGAGCTACAATTTTGTGTTTCACGAGAATTCTCTAAAACAGCTGTTTACCTTGTCAAAATTGAGTTGGAAGTCTGTATGAATTTTGGAGTCCTTATTTGACAGAATTTCAATGTTTGTCTCCTATATGAAAAAAGGGAACTTTAGGGCTGATCTTTTATTATTTAAAGGGGGTCCTCTATCACATTGAGGGAGATACAAGAGCTTGAGGCTGAGATTAAAGAGGAGCAGTCAGAAGAAAGAAGAGATCGATCCATGGCGGTGAATATGTCTTCCTCAACCATGAAAAATTCCACTCCAGTCATGCTTGGCTAAACGCTTTGCTAGGGTTGTGATGTAGCCCTAGCTTAGCACACTAGTTTGATTGTATTTAATTATTAGAGAACAATTGTTATCATGTATGATTGTGTAATCTATAGGATTTTTAATTGACTTTTCAATAAGAATCGGTTTTAGAGTTTTAATTTAATTACAAATATTTTTCTATCTTGTCTTAGATATTTTAATCTTGTGATTGAACACAACTCATTCACTTCTTGTAATTGTCAATGAGATAATTACACAATGGTTCTTGTCTGAATATAATGTTAGAAATTTGATAGATTATGCCTAGAAAAGATAGACCATACTACGCCCTAGAGTAAAGTAGATAAGTAGATGGTTTATGCCAATCGATGATATTCCATACTTAGCTTTAAACTATATTATTTTATAGCTGAATTAATATGTGGTTGTAGTCATGATTAATTCCCTGTGCATGTTATATGATATATTTCCAGTAAATTGATGCAATTGACTGATGGTGCGACGTTAGCGGTGAAACCATACCTCTAGTCCCTCTCTTTATTTTTTACGTCATATTTAATCATTGTTCTTTAATTTATTTTATTTTCTATTTAGTTAATTTAGAATTAATCATTACGAATCGATTATCCTACTTTCAAGTTAATTTGGAATTTAAGAAATCCAAGTAAACCCTATTTGTAAAGATTCGTGTACTGACAAGTGATACATATAAATCTCACAACAGTTCAGGAAAGGGAATGTCGATATTGGTGAGGTCTTGTTGGATCAAAACCTTTCCAATTGAAGTGGATTTATGATATAACAAGAGATATAGAGATTTTTATGAGGATAAAATTTCATTTAAATTAATAAATGAAAAAGTGGAGTGATAAGAGGTAAAATTTGAACCTTCTTTCATTTTTAATATAATATCAAACCTTTAGGAAATGTGAAATTATCATTATTATTTTTTCTTTCTCCTCCTTTCTTTTTTTTTTTTTTCCTTAAATTCGTTTCTATTTTTAATTTCATTTTTTTTTTCTTACTATATTAAATATAAAATAGGATAGAAACTCAAAAATGGATTGAGTAATAAATATTACAGTTATACACATATACTTCTTATTAGAGATTGGCCGTTTTAGACTTCCAATGATTCGTTGATATATTACTATTGATCGATTCATTCCGATCTGGTGGGTGTTTCATTCACCCATTACCTCTCTCTCCTCTTTCAATGCACAGATCTTTGCAACACCACTACCAACAACCATCGATTAGGGTTGGGAGAGAGAGATAAAGAGGGTTGGGAGCAACGGTGGTGATGGGGAGAAGGGAGCGGTGGTGGAGTGAGGAGGCAGTGGAGAGAGACATGGAGACAGAGAGGTGGTGGGGAGCGGCGGTTATGGTGGGGAGAGGGCGATGGTTTTGGGAGTGGAGAATCTCGAGATTTGCTGGAGAGAGGGGATTACCTTTGGATTTTACCCAATTAACCCATCAAAAGTGGGTCAACCCATCTTTTAATTTTGTTAATATTATACTCCCCCATTTTAGATATCGATTTCCAGACGTGACTCACATGTAAAATGGAAAAATGGGACGAAGGTAGTACAAATTTTAGAATAACTAAAATTATTATACATAAATGAAGCATTCGGTGATAATTTTTAGCATTCAGCCACATTTTTTCTTTTCTTTTCCCTGATTAATTTATATATATATCTATAACAAAAGCCATAAATGTATCCACAAAATAATAAAATAATGACATATATATGATATAACAATCACTAAAATAATCTCATAATTTTCTTATAAATTATCTCGGAGTAACTCTTAATATATAAATCAGAATATAGTAATATAACTTATTAAATGAATATATATATATAAAATGTATATTTACATATAGGGGTGTTCTAGCATCTATGTCTAAATTCGTATCCTACTTGTTTAAAATTTAACGTGTCAATATATCCGAATCATGACACGGCCTGTTGAGGATCAGTAGACAGTGTCCGTGTCTATGCTACTAATAGCATTTAGAAATAACGCTATAAATAAAACAATACTGGCCAAATAAAAAGAAAAGGTAGGTAATGCATTGCAAATCACAATTAAGTTGGTGTTACTATTTCTCAATCCCCCACTACAATTCTCAAAACAACTAGTCCCGAAATACCTGATCATTAAGGTATAAACAGTGTAGGTCTATTATGTGCAAACCATTTAACAACTTTGTCTAAGATGGTTTGAATAATTTATTATACAAAATTGTTAATAATTATAGTTGTACGGCCACTAAACTCCTTATAAATTCACAAAAGTCCTTAAGAAAAAATTATAAAATTCAAAAAGTCCCCTCCTTTTTCATTTCACTTGCCCAACAAGTTCCTTAAAATTCAAAAAAGGCCCATGTATTTTCTCTGGTACAACAAAATTTCAACTAATCAAAATTCAGAAAAGGCCTTTGCTTTGCTATTTATTAGTATTTTAGTTTAAAATAATGGCTGGCCCCTATGATGTAAATTGCAGATTCCGCTGCCACTGGGCATAAGGCTATCAAGAGAGCCTTCCAAGCTCTTCTTATTGACCCCTAGATTGAAAATTTTATTATATAATTTATTTGACTTTTCACATATTTTAAAAATTGTTTCTATCACGTGGTTAAATAAGAAAACCTCAATTACTCTTATGATTAGGGAGCTCTCTTGATAGCTACCGAATATGTATCGCAACGTACTCAAATATACTCGAATATTTTTCAGAATTTAACATGTCAACATGTCTGTATCATGTTGCAACCGGCATCATGTAGATATTGACAGTGTCTGTGCTACTTAGTTCACTAATAGCATTTAGAAATGATGAAGAAAACAATACTGGCCAAATTAAAAGAAAAGTTAGGTAATGCAAGTTACGTCCAAAAGGAATTCTCAAAACAAATAGTCCCAAAATATCTGATCAAGGTGCAACCTATTTAACAACTTAGTCTCGGATGATGTAATTTCCCAATCATGAAGATACTTACTCAGATAAAGCTGCTCTCTCAGTTTCTTTCCTCTGAGGAATGCTTCCTTCACTGGTTTTTTCACTTTCTCTCGGACCAACGTTTTCAGATCACCAATACCTATATCAACGTTTTCAAAAGCTTATATATGCTTATGCGGAGAGTGTTGTCCTTCTGGATGTTGTAACTAGCCAAATCGCAGTCATCCTCGAGTCTTTTGCCAGCAAAAACAAGACCCTGAACATCAACCGGCAAGCCCAGCTTGACGAAAATCTTTTTCTTAACATCTTTGACAGTGTTCTGTAGCCGGACAATAAGGGTCACAGTACCACCACTCCACTGTTTAACAAATATCTGAAATGGAGGAGGAAACATTTCTAAGATGCATTCTTCTGTGATGTTATAAAAAGCCATTGTCTTTGAATCCTCAAGTTGCTTTCCTGCATATATCACACATTCCAATCATTAACCAGGAAACGAACCATGCTCCCAATTATATCTTTGACATCACGGACAGTGTGCATGACCTTAACTTCCGGTTTCATGATTTCTCCAGGAGGCATTTTCACTGAAACGGACGACAGATCTCTCGGATTGAAGACCAAATGGAGAGTAGATTCACCCTGTATCTTGAGCGAGGCCAAAGTCCGGTTATCTTCAAGTAGCTTTCCAGCATAGATTAGGGTGTACTTATCTGATTGAATCCCCTCTTTGGCCTGAATCAATAACTTGATGTTTTAGATGGTATCGTTTGGCTTTGCTTCAATCTCAATGGTTTTCCGATGTGATGGTACCCGGGGCTTGGAGAACAAGATGGAGAGTGGAGTTCCTCTGAATACCATAATCAACTAGCTTTTTGTCATCCTGAAGCCGCTCACCAGTCAAGAAAAGCTCCTGAAGATTTTCTGAGATGCCCTCCTTACTATGTAACATTGCTTTTATATTTTTAATCGTCTTTGATCTCTTGACATTGAAGGCAATTGTTTTTATGACCTTCAAGTATATATTTATCTGTAACAAAACAAGAAAAGAAAAAAAATGAAAGTATTCGGAATAACTATCACAAAAGCAAATTACTTGGGGATCAACCAATTTCTTAAGCAAAAAAATGAAAGTATAGAAATAATATGGTCCACTACAATGATCTTACTTTAATAAGCTGGTAAAAGTCATAGTATGGGAAATATAGACAATGAACTTCCCACCACAAACTTACAAGCTGCAATCTAAAGAAGCATTCAAGGTAAGGCCCCCGGGCGCCTAGATAATTTAAAGAAGCATTCAAGGTGAGGCCCCTGGGCGCCCAACAAAGACTCTAGACTCCGATATCACACTTGCAGATGTGAGCTGCTTAACTGCCGATGAACAAATTACATAGGCAGAAGTAACTCATTTTGATGCTAGCGCAACAGTATATGAAGCTTAATAGAATTGTTTTCCAATAAAACTACGGACAAGATGCTCCAAATCGTAGCATCTTTTCCCAATTCCTAAAGCAATAAATAAGTAAAATGCCAGGCACAATAGGCATTTCACAAGCCATTTTATAGGCTTTTTGCATAACCCGACATTTTTCTAATAGAAATTCTATATTATTACCGAAAAAATGACAGGGTCAAGCACTTTTAATAAGATGACCACCATTGTCACTTCTATAACAAAAGAATCTCTAAAATTGTATGTATATAAGTCCGGTTCATAAGGCAATATATAACTACCACATCCCATCATTCTAACAATCAATTCAACACCCAAATTGGCTATTGAAAAGAGCAGGAGAAAAAATAAGAAAACAAAAAGAAAAGAGTAAATTTTATCTTCAATAGTATCTTCTAAGAACCAAAATAATAATAATAATAATAAATGAACTAAACCAAATGGTTTATTAGGCATTGTTTAAGCCCCAAGATTAGAGACTCGATGCCAATTTCCCAATTGGTGGTCAGTCCTTGAATGTGGTCCAAACCAATCACAAACCACCAAACAAGCAAATGCTTCAACTTTATTCAGTTATTTGATTGCAGGGATTGGCCGGGACCATGTGGAACCGGTCATACAAACACAACCAGTTCACTATTGACCATTTGAGATTGTGGTTCACATCATTTGAGAATAAAAAAATTCTCTTCTTTCCCCTTTTTTCTTTCAATAGGTGGAATGATCTTTCCCTTTTTTCTTTCAATAGGTGGAATCATTTTCCTATATTTTCTCAGCAACCAAGCAGAACATTAAAATCGCATAGAAACACTGCCAACGTAGTATGCAGTAACCTTATAAATAAAACCCCCAACAGTAAATTGTCAATCAGAAAAACCCACTGGAAATAAATACCCATTAATTAAAGAAATGACATCAAAAACCTAGAAAATGCAAGGACGGGCAAGAATAAGAACGTTTGAATCATATAATCAGTTTTCAACGCCCTAGAGAACACATAAGCGAGCCCCAAATGGAAAATAATTACAAGAAGAAAAATAACATGATTGTATGACGATTTAATACCTCCTCTGAGTTCTCCTCACTTGATTCCATGAAGAATTTCGAAACCCTAACCAAGATTAAGATGATAGAAAGTCTGGGAGGGCAGTGAACAGGAGAAGTTAGAAGTGACTGATGAATGTCTCCAAGGGAATAAAAAGTGGCTTGGGGGTAGGGACACCCTGTATTGGAAGGGCTCATTCTCCCAAAAGAGCTTTTATTTTGATATTAATAATACTATCAATAAAAAAATTTCATTGTCCTTTTAGACAGTATTTAAGGGAAAATTACCTCACACTCCTACTTTTATACATTAAAGACAATTGAGTCTTATAAAAATTTTAACTAACTTTTAATTTTGAAATTTATATATAATAAAGTTTTCAAAATTAAGGCGTAAAAGTTAGACCAGGTTGTAATTTCCCCCTTTTTTAAATTTATTTTTCCCACCTTCCTTTCGTTTAAAACTGATTAATGCTTCTTTTCAATTTATAAAATAGGGATATCATTTACTTTACTTACAAGGTCAAAACTTAGTGAACTAATTAATACTGCTTTCGTGGTTATTATTGATTAAGTACCTGGGCCTTCGTGCTTTCGTGGGTAGATCAAAAGTTGACAGAATTAGTTTGAGAATCAAGGGTCTCTATCTTCAGAGTGTTCTCGACTAATCGGGAGTTTGAGTGTTTTTGCTCTTCTAATATCATCCTCATCGAGAGTTGCACGTCTCTACCCTCGTTTTCCTCGCGAGTTGTGAGTGTGGTTTGTGATTTTGGGGTGTTGTGTTTGGATCTCGTTGTGTCCTTTGGGTTTTTTTGGGAATTCTTCTGTGATTGGCTCTGTGAGCGATTTGAAATCTGGTTCATGATGGGATTGTCTTAACCACATTTCTCTGTCAAACACGATTAAAGCCTCATCAATTACCATGCATCTAACCCCATAAAGGCTTATGTTTTTCTTGTTGATGCTATTATATGGTTTTCTTAATTTATCACATTTCGAGAATGAAAATATAAGGTGAGAGTCGCATCATCTATTTTTCAATATTAAAATGGTTCCATCATAAGAAAATAAGAATAAAATTGAGCGGAATAATGATGACAACTTAGATAAAAGTCTAACTCAAACGTGTGAAGTGTGCATTTTGATTTCCAGATCATAAAAGAAGAAAACAAAGAGAGCTAATGGATTATGCTTTTTTTTCTTACCTTTTATATAGAGGATCGACTAATCTTTTTATTGCTAGTGTTGGAATGAGTGAGTTTTGCACTCACATCAACAACTTCAAGCCTAAAAATATATATTAATTATAATATTTAAAAATACCTCACAAAAATTAATTTATGTTGCAGTTCTATAATGAGTTATGGAACAAAGGTAAAACTGATGATGACAAGATATGAACAAATATTTATCCTAATAAATTTACATTAAGTAGACAAACAAGGTAAAGTATATTACTTAAAACTTTGAATTAAAGTTGTTATAATTCCAAATCAAAATCGTCCATTCGGTATCCCAAGACATACGGGAAAGGCTCTTTTACTTAGTGTAGTTAGATATATGGGGTAGGTTAAATTAATGATCAAACTAATTCATGAAGTGGAAAGGCTCACCATGGCTGATAAAGGAGATGCATACATGATTATAGTTAGTCCTGCACATATAATTCCCACGAAGGTATGCCTCACATTGCCATGAATTGCAAGAAAAGCTACTGCTATCACCAACCCAATAAACCCCACGTTGAATATTGCTACTAACTTCATAGCTTTAACCTGAAAACACGAGCAAATTAGACTCATTATCAAAAGCTACAAAATTTGACCAGCATTGATCAAATATAAAAAGCACACGATTAACTTGATGTAACCGAACTTTTCTCGATGCGGTTTGACAAATCTGTCTTAACTCGTGAAAGCCCATTTCAATAAATAAAAAAAAAAAAATGGCCGGAGGAACAATACCCACAAGCATTGCTTGCGTCCTATGTCACTTTTCAGCCAAATTTTTAATGCTTTTGACTTTGTTTTTTGTGTTATAGGAAGCCAACTAATTTTTTGAGATTTTTGTTAGTGGCCAAATTAAACCCGAATTGAGTTGGAAATTTACAACTATCGTATTTTCGAGATTATGAACTTATCTCAATTTTTAAATACATCGGCTAGGAAGAGTGACATAAGTCACATAATGCACATTGATGGTAATACTAAGAGGAAAACCAAAGCTGGCCACGTCACCAACGGGCCAGTGGCCTAGCGGTATCACTTTCTTACCTTCCTGAAAATGCAAGAAATTTTCTCTCTCTAAATTGATAGTTTTATTACATTTCAAATATTTCGATCCCCCCTCTTTCCTTCATTTTTCACCTATTTATAAATTGTTTACAATGTTCTAGAAGATCCCTAACTTCCTTCCTCCCTTGGGCTCATCATCGAGGCTTTTGTATCCATGGATCCATTCATCTTTATGGCCTTCAGCTTCACTCTTCGGCATTGGGCTTGCCTCACGACAGCTTGATTTGGGCCCAGGCCATTTGCCTGGCCCATTCTTCATCATGTGAGTTAGATCCGGCCCATGCCGCCTTTGGTATCCTCAATTGCCCCCATAATCACTCCCTTATTAATTAGGGTATGATTATCAATAGACTTAATGATGACTTGACGGCTAATGATGATTCGACGGCTCGAGACGATCACGTGGGGCATCGAGCGATTGGCCTCGGAATTAATGTCTTTGAAATTTGAATCTTCTTAACTCCCTGACGCCTCTGTTAGCGGGACCACTTCCCTTTTATATACCACTCCTTCATATCAATATCTTCCTTTGTCGTACCCCCCACAAATCACTGTCAATCGATTTCAGTTTGTTCTCTCAAGGCAACTCAGATTTTTCTAGTCAAGCTAAATATTCTCCGGCGAATCCAGTAAAAGGTTCTTCTCTCTCAATTCTTTTGCAACATCCCTTGCTGATCTTCATCTTTTCAAGATTAGTTCTGTTTCTTCTTCTTAAAGTATTTGCACATTTTCCCCAAGGATCATAATCGTCAGCATCATGCCTATAGATTTGGATATTCTGCATATGAAGCTCCATTTCCCTTCCGATATTCACTTTAGAGAATGTCCCAAACACGTTAATGTCAGAACTGGTGCCGGTCTTCTTCCCGACGAAGTCTTGTTTTCCCTTTATCACCTCAACATTATTAGATTCCCTCTTCACCCTTTCTTCTGTTATGTGTTCAATAGGTTGAAACTTTCTCCTTTTCAAGTTAACACCAATTTTTTTAGAGTTCTGTCCGTTATGTTACTTCTGAATCGTGACAGAGGCCTATATCTTGACTTAGTTGATCTTCTCCTCTGTTACAAGGTCAGCAAAATCAGGCTGGAGGATGCATATTACCATCTTTACCCTCTTGAAAAGAAATCCATCTGTACAGACAAGCTTAATTCTGAAAAAGGGTGGAAAAAGGGTATTCTTGGCGTTCAGGGTGCTTGGTTTGCTCCAGCTGCCAAGGACTATCCTATCCCTACCGCCTTCGGCGAATACTCCGTGTCTTTGTATAAGAAATTCAAAACCCATAAGGCAAACTGCCCTTGTGAAATTTGCATTCCTCGATTCTGTTTATTTCTTTGCAAATCTTTGGGTATCCCGCAGGATAACGAACTTGTTATAACATTTGCAGGGATAGGACCAATTACCTGAAGGACTACGTTCTAAACGACATCCCTTCCTGTTCGGAACTCCTTACATCCGAGAATTTAAGTGATATCTCTCACCTCAGCACCACAATGAGCCAGCTTCGGATTCCATCCTTCAGCAGGAGGAAGGATCCTCCCAGGGTCAATGCTGCTTCCGCGGCTTCTTCTTCTCCAACTTCGGCATTTTCATCTGCCTCCACTTCCAGCACTACCCCGAACATGGTGACTATTCGTCCGATCGTCACCGCTCTACTCGTCATCCAGAACTCCGTCGCTCAAGCTCAGAGTACCACTGCCCCCATTGCATCCATTCAGGATAAAGAACGAGGAAAAAGGCCTCAGCCTGAAAGCGAAGGCAGCCCTGATGACGTTCCTCTAACAAGGAGGATTCGTACCTTCGGGCTAGGTTTGCCTATCCCTCCTCAGGTTAGGCCAACTGCTCCTTCCGGGTCCGGTAATGCCACTGGTTCCTCCTCTGGAGAGGCTCGGTGGACCCCCAAACTAGTCCGAGCTGACGGATCGGTAGTGAAGCCGAGCGAAACCATGTTCAGGGAAGGTCCAACAGCCATGACTTACTACAAGAACATGTGGTCTCCCAAAGACATTGAGGTTGCCAAATCTCTATCTCAGAAGGAGGTCTTCAGCCGTTTTCCCCTTACGGCTATGGAGGTAATTCCCTACCCTTCTCTTTGTTGCATTTGAAATGTCTTTACATTATAATTCCTCCAGACATGCGTTCGGCTTAATTAGTACTCATGTATTGTTTTATAGACTCTCTTTGGCATGATGGCCATGCAAAAGCATGTCGAGGCTGCCAACGCCAAGGCGCACAAGTTCGCCAAAGACGTTGAAGTGGGTCACAAAGAGAACAAGATCATCAGCACCAAAAATGTTGAACTCATGGTGCAGCTGGACAAGGTTGAGAAGGAAAGGGAAGGTCTGAAAAAGGAAATGAACTCTCTTCAAGACGAAAGAGACGCCCTTCAGATCGAGAAGAGCGTTTGGCAGACCGAGCGCGAAACGCTCAAGGCCGAAAGAGACAATTTTCAGCACCTGCTTCATGATGAACAAGCAAAGCGTATGGCTTTTGAAAAGAGGGCTCTGGATGAGCGTAATGCCCTGCTTGGTGTCATCGGCAAGGTTAATGGAGGGATGATGGCTCTGTACAGTCATTTATCCTGCACTGGGGCCCTCAGGTATGTAGAAGGATACTGAGAAGGTTTCAACGATCGCCTTCCAGCTGAGGGTCAGACAATCTCAGGCACAGGCCCGGATGATGTTGACAAGGAGCTGGGAATTGATCCTCCAGGAGTCTATGTTGATCTAGACCCCACTTTTGCCGAACACATTTTTGAAGAATGTGATGGGATTGCCTCATCTGGAGTTATCCCTGTTCCTCCTCCCGCTCAGCCTTTAGACATACCTCCTCTCTCTACTGTGGTTCCCCTTGTGACTACCACTGAAGATGAAACTCAGCAGAATGAAGTGGTGATTCAGCTTGACTCCCCCCCTCACAAGGATGCCGTGACCAATGATAGGGAGGGGAATGCTAACCGTTCTGGGGAGGCTGCCGAGGCTGAGCAGGTGAATGAGGAGATAGACAGAACTTGATTGTACCCATCTTATGTGTCTCTGTAATCTTTCAACTTATAATGAATGAAAGGATAACTTTTGACTACATCTGATCTGAATCTCTGCATCACTTGGTAGTACTTAATAATAATAATAATAAATTTTAACATAAGTGTGTGGCCTTCGGCTAATAACACCAACCACTTGTCTTTTTCTTACTTTTAGTAAGTGCCTGGCGCTCGGCTTGAACGCCACTTGCCACTTGGCTTTTCATTATTTCTTAGCAAGTGTTTGGCGTTCGGCTCGTGGTGCTAGTTACCATTTACTTTGCTTAAGTGCCTGGCGCTCGGCTTGAACGCCACTTGCCACTTGGCTTTTTCATTATTTTTTAGCAAGTGTTTGGCGTTCGGCTCGTGGTTCCAGTTGCCACTTACTTTGCTTAAGTGCCTGGCGCTCGGCTTGAACACCACTTGCCACTTGGCTTTTTCATTATTTTTTAGCAAGTGTTTGGCGTTCGGCTCGTGGTGCTAGTTGCCACTTACTTTGCTTAAGTGTCTGGCGCTCGGCTTGAACGCAACTTGCCACTTGGCTTTTTCATTATTTTTTAGCAAGTGTTTGGCGTTCGGCTCATTGTGTCAGTTGCCACTTACTTTGCTTAAGTGCCTGGCGCTTGGCTAGAATGTCACTTGCCACTTGGCTTTACTCATACTCAGTCACCTTGTTAGAAGAAGACGATACTTTTTTTATAAATCTTTCAAAGTTTTGCTCTCTTGCAAGTATACAATTGAAGGTAGACATTAGTTAAACTGAAACTCAATTGTTATTGATAATACCTTTTTAAAGAAGTGGCATTCCAAGGCTTGTTTACCAGCCTTCCAACCATGGTCTCTATGACATATGCCCTCTTTCCGATAACCTCTGCAACTTTATACGGACCTTCCCATGGTGACACCATTTTTTTAATAATACCAACTTTTCTTTTAAGAACCAAATCACCAGGTGCAAAACCCCTATGCCTCACCTTTCTATTGTGACTGTTCATGAGCGTTTGTTGATATGATGCAAGCCTTATTGCTGTAGCATTCCTCTTCTCTTCAAGCAAGTTGAGGTTGAATTTCAGCATATGATCATTCTGTTCCTGATTCCACGCTAAACTCCGAATGGTAGGAACTTGGTGTTCTACCGGTATTACTGCCTCAGTACCATACGCCATGGCAAATGGGCTTTCTCCGGTCGGTCGCCTTGGAGTCGTTCTATACGCCCACAGGACGTTCGGGAGTTCATCCAACCACTTCCATTTCTCTTCTTCAAGCTTCTTCTTTATACAAGCAAAGATCGTTCTGTTTGTGATCTCAGCTTGACCATTCGCCTGTGGGTGGCTGACCGCTGCTAACTTTTGATTAATTCCATATTCGTCCAGCAACTCCCTCACCTACTTGCTATCAAGGTTAGTCCCATTATCCATGACGATTGACCTCGGCACACCAAATTGACAAATGATATTGTTC